ATCTATAAATAACCCCTAAGTATCTGTAGACATCGATTTTGTCTGGGTCTACTGTTTTTATTTCAGTATAATATTAATAATTTTATTAATAATAATAATAATAATAATAATTTTAAAAAATAATTATTAATTATTATAAAAAATAAAAAAAAACAAAAAAATAAAAAAATAAAAAAAACAAAAAAAAAGAAAAACAGAAAGTAGGGTGGTTGGCACTATTGCCGCCCTCAACCAGCCACCCTACAACCTTCTGACCAGCCACCTGTCTACCCACACTCACCAGCCTACAGCCACTCTATAACCACCCAGATCCCCCTAATTAGAGTTCTTTAAAATCCCTAGCCCCTTTTCGAAAGCTCTCTCAGACCCTCTGGAAAACCTCAAGACATATTGCCCTCAACCTCTCTCGTTTCGAGCTCAAACACCAAACCAAACCTCTCCCTTTAACAACTTCAAATAGAACTCATACCAACAAAAAAAAACACAAACAGAAAAACAGAAACAAAAAGACACACACAGTCTTCCTCGCAGGGAGGAACCCAGTGCCAAAGCTACCTGCAAAAGCAAAAAAAAAAAAAAAATCACATCAATCTTGTTTCAACAAAACAAAATAAAAAAAGAAAAAAAAGAATAAAAACTTTGAACCCCGATTTACATCAATCGGGGTCGTTTTCGACGAAGAGGAGATCGGATCTAAAAAGATCACGTCGAAAATAGCTCCCTAGTCACTTTTGAAGTTTTCGACCATCGGCGACAGTGGACCAGACGACGATCGACATGGTGCTCTGACGGCCTGACAGCGAGACTGTCTACCTCTCCCCAGAGCCACTCTATCCCTTTTTTTCCCCCTCTGAAACAGAAATGAGCTAAAAAAAATTTGACTTTTATAGAAAATATTAAAAACAAAACGGTGTCGTTTCAGGCCAAAGAAGATCCGCGCGTTGACCCGAGATCCGTGCAACCCGACCCTACGACCCGTTTCAGCCAACCTTGAATCGGTTCAGACAAACCGCTAGTGAACCAGTCTAAACTGCTGGATCGCTCGAACCACTGATCGAACCGTCAAACTGGTCAGACTGACCTAGACCAGCGTTGACCAGATAGGTTCAGGTAAAATAATTTTTTTTTTTGAATTTTCTAAATTTTTTTATATTATTATTTTTGTTATTTTGAGTTTGTTTTATTTATTCTTGCATGATAAATTTTTAAATTTGTTAGAATAAATGTCTCATTGTTTTAATAATAATAAAAATGAAAACGATTAAAAATATATATTAAAAATGTTCAAAAAAAATATTTATTATTATTATTATTTTTCTTGCCTAGATGTTGGAGGGAATAAAAAAATATTTTTTTAAAAAAATAATTTTGCCTAGATGTTGGAGAATTATTATTATTAATAAATTTTTATAAAAAATAAATATAAGAAAATTTTAAATTAATTTTCAAAAATTATTAAAATCGAACTTGCTTTGAAAATCTGCTTAGATGTTTAAAATTTTTAGAGATGTTCGTATTTTCTTAAAAATGAAACTTTAAATACTAATTCTTAATTTTCAAAATCTTAGGTTTCTAAAACCCTTAAAATCCAAAATCTCCTAAAATCTTAAACCCCTAAAAATTCGAACCCTCTAAAATCCAAAATCCCTAAAATCTAAACCTTTAAATCAAAACCTCAAACCTCAAAACCTAAACCCTAAAATCTCCAAACTCTAAAATCAAAACCCTAAACCTTCAATATCCTAAAATTCAAGCTTTAAAACCCTATAAACCTTAAAACCAAACCTTCAAAACCTCTACTCAAGCCCTTACTCAAAACCTCCTAAAAGTCCTAAGGACGCGTGTGAAAATTCTATTCGAAGCAATTTGTTCTTGAATGCCACCTAGATGATGAGGTATTTAGAAATTTTACTTCGTTAAGTCTTTTCACATGATTTCGTAATTCGCATTGATAATAAGATTAATAAATAAAAAATATAATAGTAAATTGAGATCTTAAATATAAACAGTCACACCTAAACTCTGCCTAGATGTTGGAGAGTCAGGGTGGCCTCATTATACTTAAGAATCCAATTTTTAAATTGCCTCTCATCCTGCATAACATTCATTGGCATACATACGTTAGCATGTTATTATCAGTATTTATTTGCACTATTTCATCTTTAATTTTTATTTACTACTTGGTGATAAAATATTTTATAATAAAAAAGAATAATACATTTTTTTATAAAAAATTATGATATTATAAAATAAAATAAAAATAATATTCCGAAAGAAATAATTCTTGATACTCTGCCTAAATGTTGGAGAGTCACCAACAATTTTTTATGAAGAGTGTTATTTCATTTTAAGGATTGTTGTGTTAAATCTTAAGCGAAAAGAGTTATTTTAAATTCTGCCTAGATGTTGGAGAATTTTAAGATAATTCTTTAACTTAAAGATTTTCTCAATATTTCTAAATAAAAATTTTTTAGCAAAATTTTATTTTTTCAAATGAAGGGAATTAGTGTTAAATTTTAAATTAAAATCATTTTTATCCAACATCAAAAATAACGCATAATTAAATGATACAAATTTATAGGGGTTGTAGAGATGCTAATCATTCTCCATACGTAACTGACTCTCGGACCCAACCTGATTTTTCGTAGATCGAAATTTATCTTTTTGATAAACTTTAAATCCGTTTTTATAGTTTTATTAAAAGGATAAATTTTTGGGTGATCAATCGCACCCTAACAAAGATTAGTGACGACTCTCTCCTTTTATTTTTTTCGATTTTAAGACTACATTTTACGTCTGACGATCCAAAACCGTTACGACAGTATCCAATTAATGTGATAAAAAAAATATTATGTGTAAAACCTATCTGGCGTGATCACTTTAAATTAAAAGATTTGAAGGATTCTAACTTTATTTGAAGGACTATGACCGAAAGTATGCTTTTTATTTCTGTTGCTTAATCTCGGGTGTTTTGTAAAAGTTTCGGTTAATAAGTTTACAAATATTTTCAAATTATTTCAAAATTGAAAAACCAATGACATTTGTCGATAATGTCAACAAAAATTTTACAGCTAAAAACCATTTTAAGTTTCCAATGAAAATATTAGCATAAATATTAACATGGGAACAAAAAAAAAATTAGTGGATAACGCTATATATATCATTACGCAAAAATGGACATTTCACTATATCTTTTTCTCCACGTTTTACTAAAAAATGCTACGGCATTTACACACTAAAATTTCCAACATCAAAATAGTCAATTACATTTTTAATGGTATTTTTATATTTTTAGCGACTTTTATAAATGCTAAATATTATTAGCATGAGAGAGTAAAAATTAGTGGATGAGGTTATAGGTAAGTTTTTTATCAAATTAATTAAAAGTTACATGTGTGTATAAATATATAAGTATTTCACAT